GAAAAAGTTTGAGAAGAAAAAGTTTGAGAGTGGCACTCGGAAAAGGAAATTGTTGAGGGAAAAGTAGTTTTGAGACAAGCAGCTATTACAAAAAATGCCGAAACGTACAGGTTGTTTTAAACCTGTAGGCCAGGATGAGGAGGAAGGACAGATGAGTTCTGTACCGAGCGGCAGCGGTGCCGGCCGCGGGGCCTCGGAGCCAAGTAGGCCGTCTGCTTCTGATAGCGATGGAGTAGCGGGAGAGGAAAAACAGACAGGAGGGATGATGGAGGAGATGGAGAGGACGACGAGGACTTGCTACGTGGAGGGGAGCCAACGGCAACCGGACAGATACATGAGGGAGGCCCGATACGTCACTCATCTGGAGGAGAGGACCAGGCGCGCGTGGCAGAGTGGAGAAGTGCGATCACAGAGCCTGCCGAGGCTATAAATGACTTTGATTTGTTGTTTAAATAGGGGGCCTACAAAACCAAAAAAAAAAAAAAAAGCCCCAGGGCCTGATGGCAGGTTAAGGCGGGCTTGGGCATTGGGATATATATTTTTTAAATCCTCTGGAGCAGAGAGAGGAGCTGTGGATTATTGTTATTGATTAATGCATCAGTGTTTCTTAGGGTCAAAAACACTAAACTCACAACTTGAAATGAAAGCGTTTAGTTTATTTAATAAAAGAGCTCATGTTCAATGTGAAAAGTGACAGTAGTTATAGATTATTTGCAATTTGGTGCTATATAATATATTTATAAAAAAAAAATTATATATATTTTTTAAACACCTTGAATTTCAGGGGGTGCGCGGGGCTCCGTTGGCGGGGTGCAGCGCCCCTCCAAGACAATGGTAGGGGAAACACTGGATAATGTTTAATCAACGATAGGTTTTCCACCCCTCAAAGGTGATTGGTTCACTGCATCGCAGGTATTATTGTGATTGGCTCTTGGGCCACATCCAAATTAGACGCGCTGGCATCCTCTCATACTGACACCTGACACCACACATACACACGTAGGGAGAGCCGGGACGAAAGTAACACGGGACGAAAGTAACGGAGCGATTTTATCCGAGCCCAAACAACTTTGACCGGCCAAATTACGTCAGAATTATCAGCATTCGATACTTAACAGACCTACTAAATATCAGGTTTAACTCTGAGGAGTAGTGTTGTCACGGTACCAACATTTTGGTTTCGATACCAAGTCAAGAATTGCGATTCCGATTCTTTTTCGATACTTTTCTTAAAAAAAGGGAAACAGTCTTAAATGTAATTATTGTGCTTTATTTCACACCAGAACCATAACACAAACTTTTAAACAATGAGAACAATAAATAAAATAAATGACAAGAATTCGTATTAAATAAAATTAATACATGTCTTACAGACATACCGAGGCGCAGCGGCAGTTGCACTCCCACTTGCAGCCATGCTTCTCGTTTTCTCACATGCTCTGGCAGCTAGCGCATGCACGAGAGAGGGGAGGGACTTAGAGCGTGCTTGAGAAGGGAGGGGCTGCAGGCACGGCTGCAGTGTAGGGAGTGGAAGCAGAGCGCTGAACACACACGGCTCTTATTAAACAGCGCTTTCTCACCGGAGTACTTTTCTCCGTCATTCTTAAAGTACCGTTACTAATGAAACGGAGGAATCGTACCGTTTTTAACGGCAGGGTATTGCGGTACCTTTCAAGTATTGGTACACCGTGCAACACTAGTCAGGAGTCAGTGTCTCTCCCCCAAACTCACACATATAAAATTCGATATGAACTGAAGAGCCGCATGAAACTAGGCAAAGAGCCGCATGCGGCTCGAGAGCCGCGGGTTGGCCACCCCTGGCCTATATGCTCTGCCGAGACTGCCTTCTTCATGTCGTGAATTGCAGCTGATGTTTTAAGATGGCAATTGCCAATTTGACTTATACAACATTCGTAAGTTGTACATTTGACTCATACAATAACCCACCTTCGAGTGATGCGCTAGTTTCTTCATGTTTTGTTTTTTGCGCCGGACTGAAACTGTCTTTTCACCGACATCTCTTCACCTGCACTAGTGGCCGTATCAAAGCCGTGATTCGTCAGATGTCGATTCATTGCAACGGTGTCGGGTTACAGACGTGCTCCTCTTGTCACCTCTCACTCTCACTCTCGCGGAGAACTGAGCGGAGAACTGCGCACAGCAGCTGAGGCCCTCTGGGCGGGGCCCCCTGCACAAGGCGGGGCCCCATGCAGCCTGCGTGATTGGCCTGTAGGGAGGGGCGGCCCTGCATATTGTATGCAGAAGTATTATTTTAAGCAACACATTATGTTGACGAAACACTCGGGTCAAATGTAATTAAAGTCAGATCCACTCGTGTCTTAGACGTGAACGCGCTCTCAGCTGGTGAGAGAAACCCTGGCTTGATTTACCGAGTTGATAACCAGCGTCGTAGGACCGCTTAGCGAGATCTCGTTTGTTAGTTTGTTGTTGTTAGTTTGTTTGTTACTCAAACATATCCAGGGTCTGTTGAACTGGCTTCGTAGTACAGGGCACAGGTGGCTAGCAGCGCTAATGTCAAAAACACAGACATTGCATTATATTTTACGAGGATGCAGTGACACAAATATTTACATATTTACATTTACTATCTACAGCACCCGCCGCCCCTGACATCCCCCACTCCCCCCGTTGACAATTTACTAGCGGTACCGAAGTGGGCCGGTCGAGAGTCCCGGGATGATTTTTAGTCCCATTCCACCACTGGCTACATGACCGTATGATCGCCCATATTGACGCACCTAATTCCTAAACTTCTAACAGATACAACATAAACCGATCCTTCAGCCTCATATGAGCTCTCAGACACGTTCAAAAGTAAACTGTCATCGCTGTCTGAGCTTGCTGCTGTGTGCGCCATTGGGCGTTTACATGCAGATGCTGGGATCCGGACTGTGCAGCTGGAGCGCTGTGCCCGCAATGACGTCACACATAATTTGGCGGGACTTGAAGAATCTCCGAGAAGATCCAGAATATGGTCAACATTGAAGGGCAGATTAATGGTTATCAAAGTACAAATATCCAAAATCAGTTCAGTAACGGTTTTCAAGGGGACAATATTTACTCAAATTGATGGGTTTGGATGATGGGGGAAACTCGTGTCACAGGCTCTTTAAATGAACAGAGCTGTTGTAAAACACTCTGAGAGACAAAGAAACTCCAACACTTGGCAACTGATTAACTTTTTTTTGTGGAGGCTGACTTAGGATGCCCTCAGTGCCCCTCTGTTCCCTTTGAATGCCTGGAAATAACAGAGAAGATATTATCATTAACATTGCTGGGTTATTGGGTGATTTTTAACACCAGCCGGCGTAGGCCTACGTACATAAATAAAGTATGCTCTCAAAGTATGCTCTCAAATTTAAAGACCACGCTCTTGAATAAAGATATAGGGAATAACCCCCGTATTCCTATGTGCATCACACTGCAGCAGTCACGTCCGTGCGGCTGATACTTTCTCTCGCTTTCCTTCTCATACTGCCTGTCACTTTCCCTCTAATCTCCCGGCTATGGGGGTTATTCCCTATCTTTATTCAAGAGCGTGGTATTTAAATTTGAGAGCATACTTTATTGATTTCACGTTCAGAATATGTATTTCTTTCCCTCAAACCCTGTCCTCGCACTCAAATAGTGCCTGCTTGCGCTTAGATTTGCTCTGCTTCTGCTCAAACTGTACGCTTACTCAGGTATATTGCTGCTTACAGATTTCCTGTGTTCCAGCTTGAAACCTTCTCCTCGCGAAATGTCTGCTCTCAGATTTCTTCTGTGCGTGCTTGGATCTTTTGTGCAACAATCCTGTCAAAATCCCTCTGTGGGGATTCCCCACAGTATAAATCGCTTTGGATTAAAGCGTCTAACAGGTAACTAATGCGCTATAAATGCGGTTGCCAGGTCCACATTGGGTATACGTAGGCCTATGCCGGCTGGTGTTAAAAATCACCCAATAACCCAGCAATGTTAATGATAATATCTTCTCTGTTATTTCCAGGCATTCAAAGGGAACAGAGGGGCACTGAGGGCATCCTAAATCAGCCTCCACAAAAAAAAGTGAATCAGTTGCCAAGTGTTGGAGTTTCTTTGTCTCTCAGAGTGATTTACAACAGCTCTGTTCATTTAAAAGTGTGTGTACATAGTTTTTGATCTAGTGACAAACTTAATGTTGCACTTCTGATCATTTAAATGTGGTTTCACCTGTGATGTACTACACTTGACTGCACAGTTAGTGTTTTGTCCCTTTCTGTTTACAACATGTTTGTTCTTTGCTCATTTAAAATAGTTTAAAATGGTGTGTACATAGTTTTTGAGCTAGTGACAAACTTAATATTGCACTTTTGATAATTGTATAATTTAAATTTGATTTGTACTGTATATACTTGACTGCACTTCCCATGTTTCGTCTTTCTGCTTTGATCCTTATTTTTTCTGGGCAAACTCAAAGGGAAGGTTGTTATGGTGAGAAACCTAATTGCTGCGATGCACTTTTATAATTAAATAAATATTTTCATTTTAAATTCATGGTGTGTTGCATTCTTTGTTTATAACTGTAGATATTATGGAAAATCATGACATTTTTTGAGCTTGGGTCCCTTAGGACCACAACATTTCTGTTTTGGGTCTCATGCTGAAAAAGTTTGGGAACCCCTGCTCTAAAGCAAGTTTTAGAGATTTTTATTTGTGTTTAATAATAAAGGCCGGACCTGTAATTTCAACATGTCAACATAACTATACCTGTGTCCAGAAATAGTTAAATACAATTAATAATTAATAACATTTTCTTAATCCTATTGAATCTGTAGCTTTGACATACATAAAGAGTCACTTAAAGAAGTTGGGTCATTTGCTCAATAAGGGAACTAAAAGGACTATCAGAAGGAATTAATAATCATTACAAAAAAAAGTGAATTAATATATTTAATATCATTATTAATCAAATAAATTCAACCAAGTTCCTCTCTCGGGGAACCAAAAATCCACCACATGACTTTTATATTCAGATGACCCACACCATGTTTATTACATTTTCCATATCACATACAAGTTTAAACAAACAAGTTGGAATTGTCCCATTCGTCCATGAAAGATGGATATCATAAGAAACTTCTCACTAGCAGTTTTTTTATACATACAGATACGTTACACGGCATGTAGTGAATATGGCAAAACAAAATTCCCTCTACAAATATTTATCTTTTCATTATTACCATAAGTAATAAGGCACAGTTTATTTAAGTCTTACAATTGTAATGCAAAATAATATTTTTCCAGGAGCTATTTGTTTTGTTAAGATTTAAGATACCCTGTGTATTGATTAATGGGCTAATAAGAAGAAATAACATATCGATTATGATTTAAAACTGTATATTTTCCGTTTGATCAATCAGGCAGTTAAAAAAATTCCCAGATCATCACTCAATGATCAAACGCAGTATTGTTTCCTTCCACCACACCAACATTATTTAATAACATGCAGTTTTTCCCCATTTCTACTTTGGTTAATATGAAGGGGAATTTGGCCAGCACCTCAGGAACATATTCCTTCTGATATTCAGATAGCCACACTATTTTCTACCTTCGCTGGATCCATGTATGTGTATGGGACCTCCAGGCTCATGTTTCTCAGACGGATGCGTGCACTCAATGTTTGAAGCTCTCCTTTATAGGCCCTTATCAGCTCGCAGGGGATCGTCTCGTCAAAGTCGGCATCAGGGTAGTGGACAAGATGTGCCTGATAGAATCAATTATACAAACAACGATAAATGTTCCTGCTCAAATTTAAATGTATATCAAACATTAAACAACATTTGGCTATATAATATATATATATTATAATATATATATTACTATCTTATATAATGCTAATAATATTAATTGATTTGATACAGCATCTGAACATCTTGAGGTGATATGTAATTTATTTCACAGGAAGTTTTGGGCACTTACGGTGTCAGAGACCGAGTTGCTGAGTAGCCACAAGGTGGACATTGCGTTAGCTGTCTGACCCTTGTTAGGCAATGTCTGCAGCAGTGTTTCCTCACTTGTTGTCCCCTTTTTGGTTGGTGGAGGAAGTTGCATTGTGGTTGGAGTGTTGGGCATCCAGCCACCATAGTCATACTGCAACAAATTAATATTTGTGTGCTATTACATATAGAACAAAACATGTGCAGACATTAATGGTCCAGAGAGGATGAGGAGAGGAGAGGACAGAGTTTTCTGTAGTGCCTCCTTGACGTTCAATGTTTTTTTAAAGATATATATTCACTATTAAGAAAGAAAAGAAGAAGAATACAGAGCCACATGCAGGATAGGAGAGGTGTGAGGAATTGAGGGAAAATTGAAGTAACTTGAAAGTTTGAAGTGAAAGTTTGATACAGCGTATTTTTGGTATATTCATCTTAATGTCCCCTGATATACAAGAAGTGTGTTTTTATATATTCATGTGTGTATGCATTACAGGAGCCATAAGGCTGTATAATAACTGCTCAATTATACTGGTGTTTGTGTTTTATATTGATTTCTCTGTTTTATTATTTCATAAATGTGAGGACTAAAATTGCTCCAAGCATTGTGGGGTGCAGGTTTGCAGGACAGGAGACTATGGGGGAGGGGAGCCAAGAGGGAAGTCTGAAGAATGTGTGTGTGTGGAAGCTGCAGGAATACGAGCCAGATGTGTTTGTTTTGCTTCAAACTAAAAGACTGTTTCCGGATCATCTCGGCTGGCGCGCGCTGATACGCTACGACACGCCATCTTTTTGCATCCCCCAATGAGATAACCTAAAATGAGGAGCATCTGACCACAGCTCCTCCTGTTTTGTTGTTTGCATGTAAGCCTGGGCTGTCTTTGGTCCGGTCTCTTTTCTCCTGCTGCCAAGACGAAGTAAGTAAGATGTCCAGCGGGAGGAACCAGGGCCGGGGTAATCCGGATTACTCCGTGAAGTTGTGTTATTGTGTCTTTTGCCATTAAATCAGCATATTTGTTATAACCTTACCAATGGTTGCTTTGAATTCTTCCTCTGTTAATCTGATCCATTCACAAAACGAACACGCGGAGCCGAGGTGGGTTTTAAAACCACTCTACTCCAACAGGTGGCAGAGTGAAGAGGCTAAGGAGCAGTTACCAGGAGGTGAACGGGCTCCTGGGTTCACACTCCTGATTTTATTTTGGTCTGATCGGGACGTGAACGTGTGACCCTTCGGTTCCCAGGCCAAGTCCCTATAGAGACTGAGCCAATGCTGCTCTTATTACATAGTATATTATATAGTATATTACATATCCCTCAGCCGCGTGTCCTGGATTTTTAGTGTCAGCTCTTTCTGCTACTACATCCACAAACTCACAGTACCTGCCCGTTTTGCAATAAAACCTTTTTAAAGTAATACAACTCCTGTTTCTGTTCTCATTGTTTTTGCATTGTGGGTTAAATCCAGTTGCTCTTGTGAGTTTAACAGCATGTTATAGTTTGTTGATTTTGGCTTAGAGCCTAACTGTGCCTATGTAAAGCCTCGCTGACTTGCTAACATAGCTTTCAAATACTATTTATTTTAAAGACTTGCTTACAATCCTCTAAGTCTAATATACATTTTTTTAACAGAATTCATCCATCGTTCTCCAGGACAGAAAAATACTAATAAAACCTTATTTACCCATTCCACACAAATACATAATAATTGTGGTATAGTAGGACGCTTCACCTGTCCAGTGTTCACGGCTGAGTGCTGTCCTGAGCAGGTGAAGATCACCATGGTGACAAACTTCACCAACTCTGCCACGGTGTTGAAGCTCTGTGGGATCCCTGAGAACCAGAGGGAAGTAAATGCTTTACTAAGACGCCTTTTTTAAATAATCATATTACAATGGTACATAACTGTGCACAGTTGTTATCTAAAACATTTAGCTTTTCTTTAGCCCACCTGTTGATGATCGGGAATGAAATCCATATTCAAAGATTTCTGAAATCCAATTCTGCAGTCCTTCGTCACGCTCAACATCAGCATCACTCTTGTAGTGGAAGCTGAGCATTCCCTGCACAAACCTGAAATATAAAACACATTTCTAGCTGGTGTATTATACACACTGCACTAGTATGACACTCTGTGTAGACATAATTGAATTGCCAATCCCTTTAGAAGAATCAGGTCTGTGCTTTTGAAGATTTTGGCAAAGAGGATCCTAACTTTGAGGAATAGTTTGACATTTTTTAAGACATGCCAATTTAGCTTTTTTGCTGAGTTAGCCCAGCTTAACCTGGCTTCCATGATGCATACCACCATTGGGTGTCACTTTGTTATGAAAATTGGTGCCTCAGCCTACAGTGGGGTTACTCAATAAGCACACCATATTCATACTGTAACAAATTAATATTAATCACACACACACACACACACACACACACACACACACACACACACACACACACACACACACACACACACACACACACACACACACACACACAGCAAGAGAGAGATACAAATAAATATGTTAAACTTATATAGTTTTGTTTTAGTTTTTCCTGCCCCACCATTTTGTTTCCATGACCATTGTAATGTGAGTAACTATGGACGCCGCTGGATAGTCATACTGGGTTGACAATTATTGTACGTGTTGCTAGCTAGCCACACCACTGTGTTCCCAGAAATACACCCACCAACTGAAAATGGATAAACGGTTCTCAAGATGGTAGATGTTCTCTTGTGTAAATAAACCTTCTCAAGGTCTCTCATTTATAACATTTATTTGTGCACACTATTATTCAGATTTTTAAACAAATTATACTTTCTAAAAGAGTAGGGGACATGTCCCCAGCGAAAATGACGCCTATGCTACCAGCAAATTAAGTGTGTGGTCTTATATGAAGTATCATGCTGCATGCATTTGTTGTTAAACAGTGACCATGAGCAAAAACCTTACTCGAGTCCAATGGTTACCTGGCAACCTTACAGGGATTTCAAAACAAACTACATTTATAAAATGTATTATTACACGGCTGAGTTGAAAACTCGACTCTGATTGGTCATTACAGATATCAGAGGGTATTAATACTCGATAACAGACCGCTGCTAAGCTAAATAATGACCGTTGCAGAGAAGGATCAAGCGAGAGAAGGAAAGATAATAATAATAATACATTTTATTTCTATAGCGCTTTTCTTGAACCCAAAGACGCTTTACATTTGGGAGGGAGGGTTGACAAACAAAACAAAAAGAAACAAAGAAACAAGATAGAAAGATAGAGCGTTAGACTTCAGAAATGTCAATAGAAAAAGACAGACAGGAGGTAAAAACTAACATGAACACGGTATGGGCTTCTCTGGTGTTGTTTAAGGACTTTAAAAAAAAATTAACTGTGAAAAGACTTGGACAGTAACAGAAAACATTAATCTGTGCTGCCGTTCATTTAAAATTAAGTTGTTTTTGTTGCAGTTCCAGCCATTGGTACGCTGTGGAACCGAGTTTTTTAAGGAATAATGTACAGCGAGGCTTTTTCAATATCTTTATTTTTCAATATTGAAAAATGCACATTATCCCTCACCTAAGGTAAGAGATACGTTTGAGAATTGGTTGTATAGGTGTACGTTTGACACTTTATAAAATCTTAAAGTCTTTGTAGCCAGGCCTCATGAAACAAAGCATGGAGCACACTTCTGCAGATGGGGAATGGAACATAAACTCTAATTCTGCATTTGTATTTTCAAGTTGCTTTACTGCAGGACTAGTGCTCTTTGCTGGGGCAATAACTGCACTAAAACAGATCCATAGCCTTTGTGCGTGCCAACGGATCTATCCTTTCTTCATTGACATAATTAGTTTTATGTGATTCAGTTGTTTGTTTGGTTCCAACAAACCTAACCCTAAGCATCATCTGAGTCTTTATCGCATGGCAACTACGATATACATTATTTGCATCCCTAGCACATAATTATTATTGCAGAATATAAACTGCCTACACTATGATACCTTTGGATGATATCCCAGAGCTTGAGTCCATCATCCCTGTAGTAGAAGTTGGGCACAGCCTCCAGGTCACGCTCAGTGATGTCCTCTGGTATGCAGAGGGAGCTGTAGGTCAATGAGGACAGTGATCGCTTCAGGATGGTCTTCAAAGCCTTTCCACCAGAAGCTACAAACTAGGAAACAGTCAATATTTCAGGATATAGTTACAGAGACAAACACTGTACATGATATTAAAAAAGTTGGTCTTTCCGTACCTTTGAGAAAGTTCCGTTCTCAGATATGAGGTTTGTTCGAGCTAGGACATTGATATGCAGAGTGTACCGAGTGTGAGGTAGGAGCAGCTGGAAAGAGGGAACTCTGTTAGTAACAATACTATTACATTCTAACAAAGTAAGCAAGTTGAAACAATACAGCTACAGTAATTCAAGTATTCTTATTCCAGGTACCTTATGCAGTAGATGTTTCCTTAACACATTGCGCATCAGTGACACTGTGAAGACTTCAGCCAGCAGATGTGTGCGCAGCAGGTGAAAATTGATTTGATGCAGGTTGAAATCTGCACTTCTCACGAAAACCTTGGCCATCAACCAGTCGTACTCAGAATCAGTATGCAGGAAGATGGGGTTGTCTCCTGCTGGAGTCTGCTTCAGCTGCAGGAGAAGGAAGGGTGATGTGGTTTCTTCAATCCATTGAACCATTTTCTGTAATTTTTGTTTCTTCTGCTATTTACTATAACTTTTCTCTGCTTTTCAGTCAATCTGTTAAACGCTTAAATATGGAAGTAAAAGCAGAGGGACTGTATCCACGGACTGGGACTTCAATCCCTGCTTAGGTAATCACTACTCCTATAACTTTACATAGAAAGTAGTTTCATAGCAACTATTTGCTATGTTGCTCAGGAGGAAGAGCGGAGTCCACCAATTGCCGGGTCAATGGTTTCAATAGTGTCCTCGAAGAAGCTGATCCCTAAATTGTTCCCGATGGAATGGCCAATTGGGGTGTAAATTAGTCTCCCCTAATTAGTGTGTGAATGGATCAATGCTGACATGAGTAAAAGCGCTTTGATTGGGGCCAGAGACTGGAAAAGTGCTATATATATATATATATATATATATATAGATGTACTGCTTTTATATAGAACCTTTAAGGGGAAATATACATTTTCATTGAAGCCCATGTCAGACCAAAGGGTTCACTTTAGAGCAGCAGTCCCACGTTACATTGTCTTTTATACGCTTTTGTGTCTTGTAAAAAAGTTGATCCGACTCAACTATTCCTGCCTGGCTCTGGCTCAAGCAGGAATAAATAAATGTATAGGCTGACTTCTTCTGCAGTTTGAATGATAGTTGAATCAATGATAGTTAATCAATGTATAGATCTTTTATGTTAGCTACTTGAGTGCAAATCTTACCTGAATAGCAACTGGCTTCAGCTTGTCATCAGGTGTTTTGTGGAGCAGGACGAGGGGAGCCGTCATGTACTGCTGCTTCCCATCAATGATGTTTGGTTTCAGTCCATCCAGAAGCTTGTAGTCACACAGGAATATGTTGCCTTTCTGTTTTAGAGAGGATGAGTAACAATTAGAATCACATCAACACAGTATATATATTACACATACTAAATGAACATGTAATTGTGACAGACAATTCTTAATTCACCATGTCATTAGGCAAAACAAGTTTCTACTACTGAGAGTATCAAGACACTCACCTTCATTTCCTCTACCAAGGTATACGGACCTCTGGAGAAGACCATCTCATCAGTGACAGGAAAGTTTTTGGGCAGAGCTGAACAACGTCGGATCAACATGGGGTTGACACCATTTAGGTACTGGTAGCCAAAGAAAGCATCATCTTTCCAATGTTCCCGGACATAGCCTGGACAAAAGAGCTACACTTAGTTGAGTTTAAGATTTTCTTTTATAAAATCTTTATCTTAAAAACTGTCTTTTGTGGGGTCTCTCGGGGTTCTGTTCTCGGTTCCACCTGATTTAACATTTTCGTTCACAAAATCAATTAATAATTTGAGATTCTATGATAGTACACCTGATACGTGGTTCTTGGTGTTTAATATTCCCCTGATATCATCAAGATCAGTCCAGTTCTCTTTGGAATCAGCAAGTCCCTTCAGGTTCAGCTCAATCAGCCTAGGAAAAAAACATTTATTACAATACAATACAATACAATACAGGTAGGTAGGTAGGTATTGTATTGTATTGTATTGTATTGTATTGTATTGTATTGTATTGTATTGTATTGTAAAGGCTTCACCCAGCGATGACATTGGAGTAAAACTCCCATGTCTTGGTCCAGGAGAACTGGACCTCCTGGGGCAGAGAAGAAGGCGTTTCTGCCTTCATGCAATGGGGCATTCCTTCTCCATCCAAATGCCAGCTGTGTTAAAAAGAAAAAGGTGGTGAGGCTGTGCTGTTAAAACTACAACTCTAATGCTCAACAAGGAAGAAACTGCACCTACAAGTAGGCCATTTTATTTGTAATCATAAATCCTGGTGCAACAATGTCACGCTGTGATTCATTTGTCATTACATATCATGAATATATTTACCCAGGTGGAGGAGGTTTTGATACATGTTATCTTTGGAATAAATACAATTAAAATGTGAATATGCTCTGAGCACTTACAGATAGTATCTCTCTCGCCAATCCGGGTCAAATAATTCCCATATCCTGTCAGAAGTAGCAAAAAAACACCTCCCCTGCACCACCAAAGCTTAAAAAAAGAATCAAAAACAGATTTAACATACAGAATTTTCTCTGAACTCTTTATAGACCAGGTGAATAACTTGTTATAACTTCATATCTTCTGGAAAGTGCACATTGTACAGGATGTCAAATAAACATTTCACAAACCATTTTCTTCTCTGAAGTATTGTACATCACTGGTAGTGATGGAGCAGAAAATGGGAAACTTGTAGGTGACTCCCTCCGAGGATTGGACTACCACCTTGACAGGGAACCAATCATCTTGTATTTCTGGTGGCTGTTTGTCTAGTTCTATCCCATGTAGATCTCCAATGGAGACAGGGCAGGAAACAGTGAAAGAAGACACCTGGTGTAATGACAGAAATTGTTTGGAAACATTGATACAAGAGATAAAGTGTATTTGATAACCAATAAGCTTAGACATCCAAATGGTTATCACAAAATGACTGAATGTATAAGGATTGAGAAAATTATCAAATGTGTGCAATACAGAAGATATGTTCACTGTCTTTGTTTCCTCTTCCCAGAGAGCAACTAGATGTCAAGGCTGCAGAGTGTTCCTTGTGTGAACACTTACCAGTGCTATCTTATATTTCAATCTTATTCATTTTGCTTAATAAACAACTGAATTACCCTACAGGGATAATTAAAGGTTTATATTATTTGAGTTTCTGTAGATTACAAGTGTGTGTGTTATATATTGTTCAGTTTGAGGAACCATGTTAAAACCTTTGTTTAAAAATAGAAAGGCATATTTAAGACTTACAGCTCCTGTGATGAAAGAGGAATCTCCTTCAAGCCAGGTGCGTTCGCTCTTCCCATCTCTTCCCTTCAGCTTAATGTGGACCCTGCTTGAAGTGCCGGCATCATCGAGGCAGGCAGTGGATACTGTCACTTTATAGTCCACCATTTTCACTCTGAAAAGCAGAAGAATCCTGGTTGTGAGAGACCATAATGGTTATAATAACCATTCAGTACTAATACGAGTAACTGTGATTACATCAACCTCAGTGCAAAGAAACCCTTCAAATTCTGGTATCATAATTAAATGACTTAAGCAAAAAGTATTATACAACTAATATAAAATGTCCCACTGAATGTGTTACTGTCCAGTCATTGCTTAACTGATCAACAATCACAAAGCATCTCTCTTACCTTTTAATGAGCGAGAAGTTTCTCTGAAGAAAGGATCTTTCGATAAAGGTAATCCCCACTGATTCTGCTATTTATACAAACAGTTTGTGGGAGTGTCCAGAAAGAAGTAGTAGAACTAGAAAATGCATACGGAACCGACTAACTCCCCTTTTGTGTATATACAGCTCTCAACATGCCCAGACTTGTAGTGACTTTCTCCTCGTTTAATACTTTTTGCCTCATTCTGAAAGAAAGAGGTGAAATGTGCCAACGTGACGGCCGTCTTGGTGGTGGTAACGTGTGTTGTGCGAGACCAGAGATGGAGTTCATTGAGCGGTTTCACACAAACAAAAAAAGTGTTACTTCACAGTTGTACGACCATTTTTTTTTTTAACTTGCAAAATGATCTTTTAAATTGAAAAACATCTGTGTAATTCGTGACACAATTCAAACGGGATCGAAAGATGATTTTTCTCTCCCCATTGACTTCAATACATACGTTTTAACTGCTTTTTAACTTGACATGTTTTGGAACATGTGTCTGAACCTCTCTTTAGTGGTTCATTAATAAAACAGATATTTCAACGTGTGCCTACTTTGTTCATGTACTGTATAATGTATTTACAAAGTGTGAAGAGGAGGCAACTTTAGAATAGGGAACCTGTTCAGGTGAATTAGAGTCAAATTACTAGCTTATTGGTTATTAACAAGACTTCACTTTAAAATAGGGAACATTCTTAGATAGAATACCTACTTTTGAGTTATTTAGACTTAATTAACACCTATATTTTCATGTCTTGTTAAATAAGAATATATTATATTTATTAAGTGTTATTATGGGAGAATTAATATTCTTCTGTTACTACTGCCTTATTAGGCCCATATTGAGCAGCGCATATTAAGACCAAAACTCATGTACAAAAACGTCCTTTTTTGCAATAAAGACCAGGCTTTTTTTAAGCAGGAAATGTGAAAATAATATGAGAATGCTGACACTTTTTTCCGCCAAAAAAACAACAAATGCATTGTCATAGTGTGCAGACATTAGGCAGTCTTGTACTTATATTTATTGACATGGAAGTCAATGAGGAAAAATACTTACATGATTGTGTATAAAATTCAGCACGCCAGATCAATACAAGCTTCCTCGCTCATTCAAAATATCCGTGTAGCTCACTGTGTTCAAGTACATTCTGACTTAAAAGCTGCTGTGAGTTTATTTTGTACTGGCTAAAACACTTTTCACATGAAACATTAAAAACATGTTGAACATTATCTTATAATGAAGCGATATGTTCAAAACCTTTTCTGGACCGTCAAGGTTATCTTGTCTGAGTGAAACATCCCTTTAGTCAGCTGAGCTGAACAGTTGCTGCAACTGAGAAACCACAGGAAAATAAACAAATAATATTTTAAGGCAACGGTATGTGATCTGATAAAGATAAATATGTGTTTTCTCTCTACCCATGAATTCAAAACAAAAACAAAAATGAACTAATAATAACAAAATATAATAACTTCAAAGTGGACCCAGGGACAGCTGAAAAAAGACATGCATTTTTGCGTCACGTATAGACAGCAGAGAGTGATACATTTTGCGTTGTAAACTGAAAACCCACCTGTTTTGCTTGTACCTTGGCTGATAAAAAGGAAAAAGGTACTTGAGTTTTACTTATGCATCAGCACTTTCAATGGTCTTGCTCGTTTGAAGTGAATGTGTCAGCAGTTTTCTTGTTGTCCTTATGAATCCTTATGGCTTACTGCCCTTATTGTAAGTCGTCTTGGATTACAGAGTCAGCTGAATGCAATCTTATTTAATGAGAGCATTAAGTGGACACTGTATGTGTCCACTTAAATGTACAGTACATTTTGTATTGTAATTTATATTACATACATTCTCAGCAACCAAAATGCAAACTAAACCAGCCGAAGCTTGTATGTTGTTTGCTGTCAGTGTTCTCGTTGTGCAACCTGAGATTTTATTTGTCAGTCGTTTTTCTCTGGCATTTTGTAGGAATAAAAGATAAGGTGGGAGGGCAATTTTATGGATCTCAAAGCGTGAGAATTTGTGTACTTGAAAGGAATATGTTGCCTGAATCATGCACTTACTTGCCTGTCATCGGAAACCAAGTTAATTACCGATCCTTAAAGTGGTTTAATACAATTTGACGAACTGTCACTGCCACGCCTCCTTCAGTTATGTGGTAACAATGAAAAGGATCACTTGTCACTTTTGCTTTGTTGGACAATATCCAAGGTTGTTCAAACAGGTTCCAGGTTTCCTGAGAATCATTGAGCATTGTTTACCATATTAAAACGAATCAACACAGTTAGCGATAGCTATCAGCTGAGTGCCTGACAGGGGAATTTCCTAGATACAAAGAAATATGAATTAAGCTACTCTACATTGCAGTTATCGATAGCAACATTTTGGGCTTGACAGCTCTGGTTTGGCTCAGAGTGGTGAATTAGTGGCTTTCTTTCTGCTTTGGTCAAACAGAGCCAAAGGGCTATTCTCTACACTGCAGATGTGGATAGCAACATCTTGGGCTTGCCGGCTCTGGATCTTCTGGTTGGTCCTGCCAACCACGGCTCAGATTGTTCAATTAGCCGCTTACTTCTCTGCTCCGATTTAGTAAGTTTACCCACTTACAAAGAAATGAACAGTCTATCATTTTAAGGTTACTTTACTGAGGGGAGACAGAATATCAAAAAGAATATCCAGAGATATTATATAAGAGATATAAATGGATTTGTATTTAATTGTGTGAAATAAGTATTTGATCCCCTTGCAACCAACAAGAATTCTGGCTCCCAGAGACCGATTACACAAGTCCTCTTCCTTTAAAAAAGTACTCATATCAACTTGTTACCTGTATAAAAGACACCTGTCCACAGAATCAATCAATCAGATTCCAACCTCTCCAGTCTCCCCCATGGGCAAGACTAAAGAGCTGTCTGAGGACCTCAGGGGTAAGATTGTAGACCTGCACAAGGCTGGGATTGGCTACAAGACCATCAGAAAGCAGCTTGGTGAGAAGGAGACGACTGTTGGTGCGATCATTCTGAAATGGATGTAACACAAAATGAGCATCAGTCACCCTCGGTCTGGGGCTCCACACAAGATCTCGCCCCGTGGGGTATTGATGAGAAAGGTGAAGTATCAGCCAATAACTACACAGGAGGATCTTGTTAATGATCTCAAGGCAGCTGGGACCACAGTCACCAAGAAAACTATTGGTAACACACTACACCATAATGGATCAAATCCTGCAGCGCCTGCAAAGTCCCCTGCTCAAAAAGAACATGAAAGGCCCGTCTGAAGTTTGACACTGAACCTCTGAATGATTCAGAGACGGCTTGGGAGAAGATGAAGTGGGCAGATGAGACCAAAATGTAGATCTTTGGCATAAACTGGACACGCCGTGTTTGGAGGAAGAGAGACGCTCACTATAACCCCCAGAACACCATCCCCACCGTCAAGTATGGAGGTGGAAACATTATGCTTTTGGGGGTGTTTCTCTGCTATGGGGACAGGACCACTTCCCTGCATCCAGGAGAGGATGTACGGGGCCATGTACCGTACAATATTGGCCTCCCTCCCTCAGCCAGGACACTGAAAATGGGTCATGGATGGGTCTTCCAGCAGGACAATAAACCTGAACATACGGCCAAGGCAACACAGGAGTGGCTAAAGAAGAAGCACATTAAGGTGAGGGAGGGGTCTAACCAGTCTCCGGACCTTAATCCCATAGACAATCTGTGGAGGGAGCTCAAGCTTCGAGATGCCAAGCATCAGCCTCAAAACCTGAAGGATTTGGAGAGGATCTTCAGAGAAGAGTGGAAGCTATATGCTATGTAATATAATGAGAACATTTAAATAGACACTTTATTTAATTTACCTGTACAATATCATGTAAGCAATGCCATGAATTCTGCCATTGCAAAGTGTGTAATGTTCAAGTTTAGTTGTCACTGTCAGACATTGTTTTATTTAATTTGTGAGTGTTTAAAAAGGAGGACGGGTCCAAAGTGTTACAATATCCTTTGAGCTGACCTACCCAACACTCTAATGTACAGTAAAAACATGTTATTGCCATTTACATGACATATGTTCTCAGCAAACCAAATATGCAAATTTCAGTCGAGGCTTGTATGTTGTGTGCTGTCAGTGATCTCTTTATGCAACCTGGCATGATATCAGTTGTAGATTTGTTAAAATGGAAAACCTTACCATAATCCACCCTTACTTTCATTGGACACCAAAGTTCACATAAATTCCTAAGAATCAATTACCGATTCATTATTAATTAAAACAGTAGGTATAGGTGGTACCAGTTAAGTAAATATCCTAGCTCCACAGACATATGAATAATAAGATCTCTATACTCCGGATGTCCAAAGCAACATTTTGGGCTTGCCAGTTGGTCTTGCCAACCACGGCTCAGATTGTTCAATTAGTTGCTTACTTCTCTGCTTTAAGGTCACACAGCACCAGAGGCTATTGAGACTACTAGAAATACGTGATGAGAGATCAGATGAAGATGGAGAAAATTGTAATGCAGGTTTTCAGAGAATTACTAAATATAATTTGTATGATGCAATATGGATAAGTAATCATTGTAAAATGACACAAGAAAGACGGAAACATTAGTGACAGGTTTGATATCGTTGTTTCTTTAAAACTAGGAAACCAGTTTTTTATGAAAACAACATCTCTAATCTAAAGCTCTGAGCCAGAGGCATGGCTTCAGTGGGCTGAACACTGAAGCTCTTCAATGGAGAGCAAGTCTATCATTTGCAGAAGACCAGGCTTTTTTTAAGCAGGAAATGTGAAAATAATATGAGAATGCTGACACTTTTTTCCGGCAAAAACAACAACAAATGCATTGTCATAGTGTGCAGACATTAGGCAGTCTTGTACTCATATTTATTGTCATGGAAGTCAAAGAGGAAAAATACTTACATGATTGTGTATAAAATGCAGCACGCCAGATCAACACAAGCTTCCTCGCTCATTCAAAATATCCGTGTAGCTCACTGTGTTCAAGT